AACAAAATAATAAAATGCAAATATAAAATTAATTTTAATATATTTTACTTTACCCAAAATATCTAAAAATCATCATTTCAACATGTAATCAATATTAGAAAATTATTTAAGTCTTTGAAATCTGATGCATATTTTATATACATCTCAATTTGGAATAACCACATTTCAATACTCAATAGCCACATGTAGCTAGTGGCTACCATATTATACTAGACAGATCTAGAAGAATAAATACTGAAGTTTTTTTTTTTTAAATCTCGCCTAAGGATAGGTTTTTATTGATTTTGAGAGAGGGAGAGAGGAGGAGAAAGAGAGAAACATTGACTGGTTGCCTCCAGTAAGTGCCCCAACTGGGGATCGAACCTGAAACCTAGGTGTGTCCTCTGACTGTGCATTGAACCCGCAATCTTTTGGTGTACAGAATGATACTCCAACAAAATGAACCACCTGAAGACATTTTAGAAAAAAAAACAAAAAACAGTCCTGGCTGGGTAGCTCAGTTGATTATAGCATCTTCTCAATACTCCAAGGTTATAGTTCGATGCTCTAACTATTGAGCCATACTGGCCAGGGCTAGAGAATGTATGTTTAAGTACACAAAGACATACCAGAAGAAACAGAGATTTAACTATAAAGGTAAAAACTTATATAAAAATACCTTTTTTCAGAAAAGGACAAATTATAAAACGCAGAAGTATAAAACTCTCTTACAAATCAGTAAAAGCCAAATAATAATTGAAAAACAAAGAGTATGAACAGATGCTTTGAAAAAAGAAATTAAAAATAGCTTTTAAATAGAGATAAAATGCTTAACAACTTCATCAATAAACAAAGAAATAATAATTAACAAGACACAATTCTCCTTTCTCAAATTGGCAAAACTTAAAAACACAACCCAGCTGGCAGTGCTAAAGAGACAGAAGAGTGCTCTTATCTGTTTCTGGGAGTCACATATAACAAAAGCCTTCAAAATGGGTATTTCTCTCTTTAAAAAATTTTTTTAATTTTTCAATTACAGTAATATAATTTTTCAATTATATTAGTTTTAGGTGTACAACACTGTGATTAGGCATTTATATAAAAATAGGCATTTCCCTGCCCAGCCAGTGTGACTCAGTGGTTGAACATCGACTCATGTACCAAGAGGTCAACGGTTTGATTCCCAGTTGGGGCACATGCCCATGTTGCAGGCTCCATCCCTGGTAGGGGTTGTGCAGGAGGCAGCTGATGGATGTTTCTATCTCTCCCTCCCTCTCTAAATATCAATGAAAACATATTAAAAAAAAATACAAACACACACACACACACACACACATACATACATACATATAGGCATTTCTCTTGACTCAGCACTTTGTACCATAAAAAAGTCATGGAGATAGGAACAAGAATGCATCCATAAGTATATTCAATTACAATAGCAAAACAATGGAAATAACCTAAATGTCCAACAACAGAGAATTATTAAAGCACACTACACCTATATGCTGAATACTATTATTAAAGTGATTATAACGAAGAATACAAAGCTAACTCCATAAAATGTAAACCCCACAAAGACATGGATTTTTACCTGTTTTATTAACTATCTGCCAGTCTACTGCCTGGCACATAACAGACAATCACTAAATATTCGGTGAATAGCCCTGGCCAGTCTGGCTCAGTGGTTAGAGCATTGGCCTGCGGTTTGGAGAGACCCAGGTTTGGTTCCCGCTAAGGGCACATACCTCGGTTGCAGTTTGTCCCTGGCCCTGGTTGGGTTGTGCGGGTGGCAGCCACTGGATGTGTCCCTTTCATGTCTATGTTTCTCTCTCTGTTTCTTCCTCTCTCTCCCTCCCACTCTATCTGAACAAAAAATGAAAAAATGTCCTCGAGTGAGGATAAAAAATATATATATATATATTCGCTGAATAAATATTTAATAACAGCAAAAAATCAGGTAACAGAGCAAATGCAAATGGGCATGAAGTATCTTATTGGGTAATGGAAATGGTCTAAAATCAGATTATGGTGACAGTTATACAACTTTAAATTTATTACAAGTCACTGAAATATGCATGTAAGATGGACAAATTTTATGATATGTAAGTTATATCTCAATATAACTATTTAAAAAATCAGGCAATAAAAGTAGAATATGTCTAAAAGTACGTATGCATATACAGGTATTAAATATACACAGGAAATAGCCCAGCCAGTGTGGTTCAGTGGTTGAGTAGCAACCCATGCTCCAAGAGGTCCCCAGTTCAATTCCCAGTTAGGGCACATGTCAGATTGTGGGCTAAATCCCCAATGGGGGCATGCAGGAGGCGGCCAATCGATGTTCTCTCTCATCGATGTTTGTCTCTCTCCCCCTTCCTCTCTCTAAAATCACTAAGAAAACTAAAAACTAAAAAATATATATATAGATAGAAATAATACTGAAAGAGTAAAAAATGATACAAATACTTTGGAGGGCATTTTAGTAATATTCATCAAATTATAAATGCATGTTCCCTATAATTGGACAATTTTATTCCTAGGAATTTACTACAGCATTGTCCATGACGACAAAAGAATCAAAACAAACGAAATGCCTATCAAGAGGAGCCTGGTTACTAAATTATGGTACAACCATACTAAAGACTATTAATACAACCAGAAAAAAATAAATGAGGACGCTCTTTAGTACTGACATGAAACAAGCACGATGTTATATGCTGAATGAAAAGGGTGAGGTGCAGAACAGTGTAGTATATATGCTTTTTGTATAAAACAATATGAAAACAAACACACTACTGTGTCAATATATACACAGTATATGGATATGCATAGAATATTTCTGGAATAATATAATAAAACCTTAGTTAATTGCCTCTTGCAAGGGGAACAGGGTAGTTGGAAGGTCTATTAACTTTCAGTGAATCCTTTTAGATTTTAAATTTCTGAACTATGTGAATGTATTACTTATTATAAACAAGAAATAGCCCTGGCTGGTTTGGCTTAGCGGTTAGAGCGTCGGCCTGCGGTCCAGAGAGACCTGGGTTCGGTTCCCACTAAGGGCATGTACCTGGGTTGTGGTTTGTCCCCGGCCCTGGTTGGGTCGTGCGGGTGGCAGCCACTCGTGTTCCTTTCACGTCGATGTTTCTCTCTCTCCCTCCCGCTCTATCTGAACAAAAAATGAAAAAATGTCCTTGAGTGAGGATAAAAAAATTAATAAAAACAAGAAACATTTAAAAAATGTTAAGACACCTCATCCAGTTTTTAAAAGATAAAAAATATCATAAAACCATTAAGAGCATGAATTTGGAGTCAGATCTGTGTTCAAATGATACCTGCTTTACACTTGTAAAACTCTGGGCAAGATACTTTATAACCTTTCAGAGTCTGTTTTCTTATCTTTAAAATAGGAATACTAGTCCTTGCCTCACGGGTTGTTATGAGAAATACATGCAGCAAGTAGGAAGCACTTAGCACAATGGCTGCTTGGCACATGGTCATCAAGGTTAGCTATTACAGACTCTTTTTAGGGAGACAGAATGGTGTAACAAAGAGAACTGCTTTGAAGTTAGACTTGGATATGAATCCTGGCTCTGCCACTTTCTAATAAAAATGATAATAATGAACATTTAAATAGCTATGTGGCCTTGGACAAGTCAGTTAACTGATTTCCTTATCTACAAAAGGTCTTGAAAGAACTACTTCCCAACACAATTGCTTAACAATGAAATGAGGGAAATTCGTGCAATGGATGTGCATAATAGTTCACATATAAATGAGTCCATACCTTATGCTAAATACTTCTTGTATATATTAACTAATTTAATCCTCTTATGGACTCTGTGAGGGAAATACAACGATTGGTCCTACTGTATACATGAAGAAACAGGACAAGAAGTTAAGACACTTGCCAAAAGTTCCACTGCTAATAGACAAACTTAGTCTGGCTCCATACCTACACCATATGCTCATATCTACACCAGACTGCCTTCTAGAAACACAGATACTGCCTGGCACCTACCAAGTGTCCAAATGTTACCCATTCATTACAGCATTTTCATGACACAAAGATGTGTAAATAGTGACTTCTGGAATTAAAGGTCAAAAAAAGGTGGGTTTAGGCTTTTTAAAGGTATAGAGTCTTGGGCAAAAACCAGCAGAAAAAGGAAAATAACAGTATTTCTGTAAGAGTCTGTAAAACTGAAAATAGTTTTACAATGAGGCTTCCTCCTCCTCTGTATGGCGTTTTATCTTCTCAGAAGAAAAGCAGAAAACTACACTTGGAAAAAAAAAAAATCACTGAAGAGAAAAACAAAAGACTATGATCAACACCTAAAAGAGGGATTCCATTTTTCTGCAAAATGAGAAAGGAAGTGCTCCATTCTCCTCTCCTTTACATGAACACTTCCTTGGCAGTGACAATGAAATTCAGGCTCCTGCCTAAAGCTGTTAACAAGCAACACTCTTGAGTAAGAGGCTGAATGACACACAAGGAATTTGCAGGTAATTTAAGTCCTAGGCATATTACCAGGCTAAAGGGAGAAAAAGACTAATTAAAAATCACAAGTTCTATACACAATGACCTAATTTATTGAGCCCAGTGGTCCTAAGGTAAAGGAAGTCATATCTTCTTACAGAGACATCAAGTTCAAATATGATCCTCCATTCCTCTGTATCGGCAACTTCCCAACATGGGCTACTCACTGGCTTCTTATAGGTCTTGCTTGCTTTCCTGAATGGAATGTCAGTGAATCTACACCTAAGTTACATCAATGTTTAATTACTTAACCTTAAAAATAAAATATGCATATGATCAAATTTCAAATTATAGTACAGAAAATATAAAATGAATAGCAAAACTCTTCCCCAGCTCCTCTTCCCAAAGATAATCACTGGTAAGAGTTTTTGGGTGTTCTTTCAGAGAAAATTGTAAGCATCTATCAGCGTAAACTATTCTGGTCTCTGCTTTTTAAAATGTATTTCATACACCGTAAAATCCTTCCACAGCAGCACAAACTCACCTACTTTTATCTTTTCCGACTTCATAGTATTCCATGGGTGGCTGTGTGACAACTTACTTCAGCAGTCCCCAATGGATACCAAGGCAGGAAACGACTTACACAGTCATAGACAGCATCTCTTCCTAGCAGAGGAAGTGCTGAGTTAGTTTTTCATTTCAATCAATAAAGCCAACTACTTCCCAAAAGAGGGCAGCAACTACCCTTTCACCAGCAGCACTTGGAAATTGCCTATCCACCTATAACTGCCAATAATGGATATTAAACTTTCTCACTTTTGCTGAACTAATAGGTTAAAAACAGTATCTCATTATTTTGATGTGCATTTATTTAATTATAAATGAGGTTGATCATCTTTTCTTGTGTTTAATGGCAATTTGTCTGAATCTGTCTTTGAATTACGTGTTCATATCCTTTGCCCATATTTGCCTTTTTTATTGAATTGTCAAAACTCTTTGCAAATTAAGGAAATTAGCCTTTTGTCATATGTACTGCAAGTACGTATTAGACTTAATTGCTATCACTAAATGGCATACTGACTGGGAATTTAAATTATTTTTCTACATTTATAGGAAATATTCATTCCATTTCAATCTTCTGCATGTACAAAACCAAAGGGAATTCAAAGATGAGTAAGAGTCCCTGTCTTGCAGTTTGAGACAAGCTTCATGTAGATGCCTCCCAACTCAGGCATACAGGAATGGAATTCACTGTTGATAATGCAGAGAAGTGATTTATATTAGTTTTTTCATTTAGACTAAGTTTGCAGCTGCTTCAGAAAACAATAATGAACTTGATTATTTCACTCACTAAATACATCAGAATCAGGGGTTTTTAATTCAGAAGATTAATCACTGGTCTTTGTGTCACATTTATATTAAGCAAAAAGCATCCCCAAACTAGACATTTACATTGCTATATTTTCATTAAAAAAAAAAGCACATGTAAGCTATTTTTCTTCAATACCATTAATACTTATTTGAACAATACTTACTTTGTTTTGTTTGTAATAACTACATTTTGGATAAGAATGTGAAATACTTCTTTGAAAAAACATAAATGGAGAGGCCTTAGTTGAAATGGTCTTTTGGGAAATTAAAAACTGTCAGCTCCTCCTCTTCTGCTCATTCAAGCAATGGACACAAAAACCTCCTGCTCGTCCCATCTCTTTAATTTGAGAATACTTTCACACCACTGGAAGCAGCCTTCAACTCACACAATGCCTTTGTCATGGTCTGACTCTGCCATCACTGGTTTCAACAGTGGATTCTGGGAAGGACCACCTCTGATGTGGGCAGTCCAAACACTTGTCCACTTCCATGTATCCAGCCACCACCACCCTGGCCTTAGCAGTTGTAAAAGGGGATCACTGAAATCTCCCACAACACTCCTTAGCTTTCTCCCCTTACTTGGGAAAGCCCATCATCATTAATAACCATTTATTAAATATCTGGTACATGCTAGGCATGTCATAAAGGCCTTTTATGCATTATTTCACTGAATCCTCCTGACCTCCCAGAAGGCAGTATTACTACCCTCACTTTAGAGATAAGGAAAACTGAGGCTCTAAGAGGCTAATTTTCTCAGGACTGTTCCAAAGTCTGCCCATCTAGACCCCCTGTGCAATGAGTCTTATTTAATTTGCCCAGTGGGAAGGGGAGGACCAGCATCGGGAGGCAGGAAGAGCTGAGAAAAGGCAAGCATGATGAAAAGAAAGCTTGCCCTAGGTTATATTCCGCCTGAGGGTGGTGGCAAGGGAAAGCGATAGGGACAGGTGGCAAAAATCCTACTGCTGACCAGGGCTCCTATTCCTTCCTCTGTGAGTATATTTTAGTAATATCCATCAAAATCACAAATGCACATCCCCTGCGACTAAGCAACTTCAGCTTTAGAAATTTACTAGCACCCTCTCTAGATCAAAATCACCAGTAGAGAAGGGCTATGATCAGAAAAAAGTTCTAGGTGGCCTCCAGCTGAAGTATGTCTTCCATATTCACAACTTTTATTCCCCTTTCTCTCTCAGAGCCCCTAACCCCGGCTGATTTTACCTGCTTTAAGTAAACAGCTATTTTTATATGCTAAAGCCTCAACTAATTAGAAACCACTGATCTAGGGCTCAAGTAACTGGTCGTTTTACTGTTTGAAGGTGAAAGTCATAGACAGCAGATGCTGCCAAGACACAGGTTCAGCCCAAGTTCAACAGAATTCCAAGCAGCACCGAGACTGGTGTGCAAAAAGCAAGAGCAGGCATGAGGGGCTCTCCAGGACTGACCAAGCACCGAGAACAGCAGCAAGGCCAGTGCTAGACAGAACCACAAGGAATGGAGAACAGGCAGGTTCGGGGAAGAAAATGGGCACATGCTGGGGAGTGAAAGCAGACCAGGCAACCAGAGGAGGAGGCCATTTACACAGTGAGGACTGTGGGCACAAACCTCAGGGGAGAGTGGTACCGCCTATAAATTACCATACAAGCCAGCCTGGGACAGTCCTCCCACAGTTCTGAAGTAAAAAGTGAAGGAGAGGAGTCCCAGAAATAAACATGCAAACGTGCTCTGAAAATAAAACTAAGATCTGATGCAAGACCATATGACAACACGGTTTAGTAAAGCTACTTGAAATCTTTGTAAGATCCCACCCAAAAAACTGCAGAACATATCACCACACCCCGAAGAGATGTCATTCTGAAATGCAACAAACAAGGGAATGATACCCCTAATCCTGATTCCAAAACTCACTAAGAAGAAACACATTTTAACTAAAGGAGCTTTAAAATAAAAAAAGCCACTTCGCAAAGACAGGGAGACCAGCTGACGATACTTTTTAACAGACACACTGGTCCTCAGAGGGTGAACAGGTACCAGTTAAATGACACTCTGCTTTTCCTTTCACCCCATTCCTCCCACTGAGTTTTGAGCAAAAGAGGCAAAAAGGCAATGACTGCCCTTATATATGATAACACTTATATATGAAAATCCAAGTTTTTAAATGTGGTGCAGGTTTACCAATTTCTTTTAAACCAACCGGGGATGAAAGGAGAGTTCATTATTTTCCACTTAATGCCATTTTATTCTTATGATGGAATTTGAAAAAGACTTGATTATCACCAAAAAGTAGCTGAAAGAAAGCACTAATGAGTTTTTTATAATGATATAAAGGCCTTTTCAAATGTGACATAAGTCCCTGCAGCCACAAAGGCAGAGACAAATACATTTGGTAACATAGTTTATAAGCACCCCCAAAAAATATCCCCCAAGATAAATGACAGTGAGGAAAAATACATCACATTTGACAAAGGGCTACTTCCCAAATTCCTTAATTCATATTATCAATCAAACAGACTAGGGTGACACAGAAAATCCTATGGAAGAAGGGGCAGAAGATATTAACAGTCCAAAAAAAAAGAAGACACAGGACCGAAAAACACACGAAAAGATGTTTAGCTTTATTCATAACTAAATGCTTGTGAATTACAAAAAGAAAAAACGAGATACCATTTGTAATGCATCAGATTTGCGCACATTTAAAAGGCTAGAAAGTATAATCCTGAGAGATAATCTGGTAATAGTGACCAAAATGTAAAAGGCATTTACCATTTGCTCCACAATTACCTACTGGGAATTGAGCCTACAAATATACAGTATTTACAAAGGTCTGTTAGGATAATGTACTGAGCACTTTTATTTGCCATAGTAAAAAATAATAATAAAGAGAGGGAAACAACCTTAAGAGACTAATTAAAAAAAAAAAATCAGCCCTGGCTGGTTTGGCTCAGCGGTTAGAGCGTCCGCCTGCGGTCCGGAGAGACCCGGGTTCGGTTCCCGCTAAGGGCATGTACCTCGGTTGCAGTTTGTCCCCGGCCCTGGTTGGTCGTGCGGGTGGCAGCCACTCGATGTGTCCCTTTCACATCGATGTTTCCCTCTCTCTCTCTTCCTCTCTCTCCCTCCCACACTGTCTGTACAAAAAATGGAAAAATGTCCTCGGATGAGGATTAAAAAAAAAAAAAAAATCAACAATGAAACACTTGCAGCCATTAAAAGTACTAGATAGATCTGTATGCTTTGATAAGCTCTAACACTTAGCCAAAACCAGCAAGATACGGAACAAGATATATGTACTTTTCTTAAAAGAATAAATATATGCTACTGTAGGCTTTTAGCATGAAACTATTAATGGTGGTGACTTGGGGAATAAGGATTAAGGACTGGAGAGACAGAAGGGAAACAGACTTTATTTTGTGTATATATGTTTGTTTGTTTTTATCACATAGCTGCATTATTCTAGCTAAAAAATTTTCTAAGACATGTTATAGGATTTTACCTAAAAATATATAATTTTTTAAACCAAGGAATCTAGAGAAAGATAGACTGCAAATGAATAATTAGTGTATCAACCAATTCTAGAGACAGAAACATAAAACTATGAGAAACAATGATTAACACTGATTAGTTTTGACCAAAAAGAGATTTTTTAAAATTCAAAATGAACAAAGAAAAACTTCATGGTGGAAGTAATATCTGGACAGGATTTGTACTTAAATGGAACACAAAGAACACTCCAGATGGAAGTAGTGGCAGAGCAGAGCAGAGCGGAGAGAAATGTCTGAGTAGTGGCCAGGGTCCAGTTACAAGGGGTGACATGGAAAAGAGCACCACAGTTGGAATGTGGAAGGCCTTGAACGCTAGATGAGAAAACTCACACCAAATCAGGCAGTAGCCAATTTGAACATGGGTTTGGAGAAGGACTCAACAGGGTTTGGAGACTGAGGGGTGTTATCCATTCTGGGAGGCAAGTTAGTTCAGCCTCAGACAAGCTGAGTTAGGTTACCCACTAGGCACCTGAGAAGAGCTGTCCAATAAGCAGTGGGAAACATGGGGCTGGAACTGCAGAGAAACAAGACCTTAAGATACCAATTTGGGAGTAACCAAAAACTGTACTGAGGATGGATGTGGTAAGAAGAGGTTACTCAGGAGAAAAGACAGAAAAAAGATAGCTGAGAACAGAAAAGTTGTTTGCTCCTATAAAAGAAGTACTATAACATGACATCTCATTAAAGAGGTAACATCTGCAGCTAGCCCTCTCCTTAGCACATCATTTCTGC